GGCTGTGGTGGCCGGGAGTGGCCACTGCACTCCAGTCTGGGCGACAGAGTGAGACTCCAACTCAAAAAAATAATAATAATAATAATTTTTTCAGTTGTCTTATACATGTATTTTTATAGGTGATTTATTTAAGTTTGAATTCTAATAGGCCCACCTGTTGTGTTTTGGTTGATATATCACTTAATAATCTTTTAATCAATACAAGGTTTTTTTTAAAAATTGCATACTTAAAAAAAATACTTACAAAGTAGCCAGAACATTTTCTCAGTTTAAGTATTCATATATGTTTATGTGTGTGTTGTTTGTTTTCCTTGAAACAGAGTTTCACTATGTCATCCAGCCTGGAGTGCGGTGGCATGATCATGACTCTACAGCCTAAAACTCCTGGGCTCAAGTGATCCTCCCACCTCAACCTCTCAAGTAGCTGGGGCTACAGACACATACCACCACACCTAGCTAATTTTTCTCTCTTTCTTTTTTTTTTTTTTTGGGTAGAGATGAGGTCTCACTTTGTTGCTCAGGCTGGTTACGAACTCCTAGGCTCAGTGATCCTCCCACTTTGGCCTCCCAAGTAGCTGAGACTACAGGTGCACACCACCATAACTTGCTTATTTTTCTATGTTTTGTAGAGATGAGGTCTCACTTTGTTGCCCAGGCTGGTTTTGAACTCTGGGCTTAAGCGATCTACTCACCTTGTCCTCCCAAAGTGCTGGGATTACAGACATGAGCCACTGTGCCTGGCCTCTTCTATACAATTTTTAATTATACATGGTACAGATGTACTTTGCCTTTGCCACTATCACATTCTATTTTTAAAAAAACAACTGAAAAGATGATTGCTTGTGTAAACTTACATATGTAAGTCTGTATTTTGTGTAGTTTATTCTATTCACTGAATCAGCATGAAGTAGTATTATCTAATATAGACAGATTTAAAATAATTGTTGGTTCATTGTGATGTGACTAAGGGTGCAGGATTTGGTGGAGTATAGAAACCTCAACTTTTAATCTTTGTTATTATTTCTAAATGCAGTCCTTTGATCGCTACAGCATAATTTTCAAGAATGAGAAATAACATATAACATATGAAGCTACTTTCTTTTTTAATCTTTCTTCCAGATTGCTCTGAATGTTGCAGGAAAAGGCGATAGTTTGGCATCATGGGATGGTGTTTTAGACCTGCCAGAACAGAACACTATTCACAAAGATTGCCTACAGTTTATTGGTAAGTTTAATAAGTATTTCCAAGCAGTGAAAAATTTTGGAAGTAATTTTTTACATTGAGGAATCATTCTTTAGTAGAATTATCTTCTTGTAATTTGGGAATTTGTAAAGGGCTTGTAAATAGTTTTAAATTTTTCTCTTGAATTCTCACAACAAAATGTCTAATAATTTTAAGAAAGAAAACTTAATATTTACTGTTTCTTTTACCTTATATGTTCAGTTTTTTCGTGCATATTTACAGTTTTGTTGCAGTCTTAAACTTGGTTTCCGTATAATTAAAGATTTGTATAATTCTATCCAGTCCTCAAGTTAAAGGGGGCTGTTTTCTAAAAGTTTATCTATAAATCATAGTTTATGATCTGCAGAAAAACTGTTGTAAATTATGGGTGAATAGGTTTTCATTTATCCCACAAGATCTATTTTAATTCACAATAAGTTAAATTAATTTATTTTATATTTATTTATTATAATAAATTATAATTTATTTAATTTAGTTTATACTTATTTTTAAATTCATCTCTGGCCCATTGTGTCTTCTTGTTTCTCTTCCTATCATATTTTAGTTAAACTAGTGGTCAAATAGACATCTGTGTAATAACCACAACAGAAACATTATTGCTGGTGTGGACATAAGAAAGAGAACTGGGTGATGGAGAATGAATTATTTTCTCTGTCCTTGCTAAAGTTATAGTGGCAACCGATAATCTGTTGTTTAGAAAACACTTTTGCTTTCCAGGAATATGGGTTATGCCTATCTTTGCCTACTCTGCTACTTCAAATTTGTTATTCTTATGCTTAACATAAAATATAGAGGTCAAGTACTAAATGCTAACTTTAGTAAATACTGAATATATAAGTCTTCTGTTTCATGCAGAAACAGAAGATAAGAAAACACAAACTTTAGTGAAACTGTTACTTTTAATTTTTCTTTTCTTTAAACAACTATCTTAAGGTTAAAAACAATAATTTATAAGGAGCTTTGTCTATGTTTTTTTCTTGGTTTTTGATCGGTGGATCAATACTTGTTAAAATAAGTATAAGAGAAAATGTGCTTTCATGTAGTTTTACGTTGCCTTTGTCATACTCATCTAAATGTACTAACACAGTATTGTATATTTGTAAACAAGTGTAACATCCAATGACTGATCCTCTAACAAGCCCTTGGTAACTTTATTCTGATACTTATTTTCTAGACCAACTTTCAGTGCCAGAGGAGAAGGCAGCAGAGTTACTTTTGGATATTGAATCTGTAATTACCTTTTATTGTAAATCACGTAACATTAAATATAGCACATCCCTTAGCTGGATACATCTCCTCAAACCATTGGTGCATCTGCAACTGCCACGCAGCGATCTATACAACTGCTTTTATGCTATCATGAATAAGTACATTCCCAGGTAAAATATGATTTTTAAAAATTACTATAGCTTTTAAAAGTGAATAGAGGCCTAGTTTGTTTTGAACTAAAGTTGATAGATTTTTTGATGGTAAAGTAAAAGACTCAAAGAATTTTTAAGGTTGTTTTGAGTCATAATTGTTTGTGTTTTTTTGTGTGTGCATTTTGTTTTATGATAGGGTCTCACTTTGTTCCCAGGCTGGAATGCATAGCCTTGACCTTGGCTCAAGCAGTCCTTCTGCCTCAGCCTCCCAAGTAGCTGGGACTACAGGCACATGCCACCACACCTGGCTGATTTTTTTGTCTTGTGGTTTTTTTTTTTTATTGAGGGGGTGGATTGAGCCATAATTATTACTCAACTTTATTTTTGTGGTTGTAAACATTTTTAAAAGGATTTTTTAGTCAATAACTTATTATTCTAAAACAGTGGTTACCAGGGTTGTGGTGGGAGAAGGAAATGGGGTGGTGTGGGTCAAAGAATACAAAATAGCAAATATGTAGGATGAACAAGTTGAAAGATCTGTACAACATGAGGACTGTAGTTAATAATAGTGTATTATATTCAAGATTTTGCTAAATGAGTAGATTATAACTGCTTTTGCCAAAGGGAAGAAAATTAATAGCTATGTAAGATGATAGATATGTTATTAATAATATGTTCATATATATTAACGGTTTTACTATATATATGTTTATTATAACATATATATTTTAAATATACACAAGAAATTCATTTTTAAAAAGTAATTTTTGCTTCTAGAGTTTATATACATAGCATAACTCTTCAAGTTTATTTGGTGGTATTCCTATAAAATAAAAATAACCTTACAGTATCTAAGTGAAAAATGCTACCGAACAGCCCCCTTTAAGGTAGCCCCATATAAGGTGTTGGGGTTTAGCTTGGAATGTAGTCCTAGAAATACAAGTATTGAACAAGTAAGCTGAAGTGTGCTGACTTGGGCAGGTGGAGTACAGCATATGGGAATATATCATGGGGGCGATCTTTTGGACCATGGAGGTCAGGGATGACTTCCTTGGACACATGCTCAAGTTGGTGGTGGGGAGCATTTACAAGGCCAGAAGGAATTGTTGTAATTCCCAATATGAAGGATCAGATAGAATTTCAAAGCCAAAAGAAGCTTTAGGTGTAATCTAGGCCAAGGGTTGGCTGCACAACCCTGGAAGCACATTATAAACATCGAGGGCGCGCTTTAAAAATCCCAATGCCTGTTTGTATACCTGACTCATGAAAATCTCTTGGTGATAGGACTCAGTCATTAATTTGTTTAGAGCCTCCCTAGTAATTCCAGTACATAGCCAAGGTAGAGAACCACTATTCTGGACATTCAGAGTTGACTGTCATTTTTTACTTTCTTTGTGATACTTCTCTGTAAGTGTTTTGTATTCTTTCACATTTAAACAGTGACTACTATAAGGTAGGTATCTCTGATTTACAGTTATAGAAACCGAAGGAAGGAAAATGATTAAATTATTTTACAGGATTACACTTACGAAGTATAAATCAGGATTTGAACCTAAGTTTGGATGGATTACCGGTGCTTTACTAATGTAGTTCTTGATCCTGAGTCCTGGTTGAATGTTAGAATCAACTGAAGCACCTTTTCCCCCCCCTTTTTGAATGACACTTTTATTGAGATACTGTCATCCACATACCATAAAATCTGCCCTTTTAATATGCATAATTTACTGGTTTTTAATATGGTGACAGAGTTGTGTAGCCATAACCACAATCAAATTTAGAACATTTTCTTCACCCCCAAAGGAAACCCCATTTCTATTAGTAGTCAATTCTCTATATTCCCCCAGCACACCCAGCCCTAGGAAACCACTAATTTACTTTCTGTTTAACTATGAATCTGCCAAGCCTAGACATTTCATATAAATGGAATCATTCTGTATATTTTTTTTGTGTGTGACTGCCTTCTTTTGCTTAGCATAGTGCTTTCAAAGTTCATCCATATTGTAGCATATATCTGTATTTCTTTTTTTTGTGTGCCCAATAATTTATTGTATTCACATGCCACATTTTATTTACTCACTCATCCATGGCTGGACATTTGGGTTGTTTTCACTTTTTGGCTATTGTGAATATGCCGCTCTAATTCACGTATAAGTTATTGGGTGGCCATGTATTTTCATTTTTCTGGGATATGTGCCTAGGAGTAGAATTGGCTAAACTGTATCATAACTATGTTTAACGTCTCAGGGAATTGCCAGACTTTTCCACAGCAGCTGCACCATTTTACATTCTCACCAACAGTGAATGGAGATCCCGATTTTTCCACATCCTCATCAGCGTTTGTCTTTTGATTATAGCCATCCTAGAGGACGTGAAGTAGTATCCCATCATATTTTTTGACTTGCATTTCCCTGATAGCTAATGATGTAGAGCATCTTTTCATGTGTTTATTGGCAATTTGTTTATCTTCTTTGGAGAAATGTCTCTTCAGCCAAATAACTCTTAAAACATATTGATCCCCTGAGTTTCAAACATAAGTGGATTGGGTAGAGCCTAGTCACATGTATTTTTAAAAGCTCCCCCAGGTGATTCTGATGTACACCCGGATGGAGAACCTCTGTGCTACCTTGAAGCCACACTGCTTAGTGGAAGGCAAACACTTCCAAAGATACCGGAAGACAAGGCTAAGGTCGTGACAGAGCCAAGACTGAATTTCATATTTAGAAGTCATTCAGTTATACTAGGTCTGTCAATTGCCTACATTTTAGCACTTCTCATGGCCACTTCTTGCTGTAACAGAGCTAGCAATAGCAAGGGACATGATATCCCAGTGTTGTCTTTAGGGAACAGTGGTGCTGGTAATTAGGAGCAGAGGGAGGGGTTTTTACATTGAGCTGTGTAACATACTGTCTTATCAGGTTCCTCCAGTTATTGTTTTTAGGAGTTCCATATGTAACACAGCTCTCTAGTCCAGGCTGGCAAAGAACACTGAGCCCTGCAGAATCCTGCTAGAAGAACTCCATTTTAACATATCTTCTTATTACAGATTCAGATAGATGATGAGGAGAGTTCTACCAAGCATAGTGCTTTGGAATTGAGAATAACTTTGCAGTATTCAGCTATTAAATGAATACATGCTGTTGTCATGGTTGACTCCCTGAGATGTCTCACTTTTTCAGAAGATGAGACCATGAACTGGGCATTAAATTCATTTATGCCCCTACTCACACCTATCCTGGCTTGCATTTATCCAGTGGGGAAGCTGTTCAGACTAGGGAGGTGGTCAGTCAAGTCAGGGATATTGAAAGGTGTTAAAATATCTTGCCCACATGAATCCAGATCTGTCTGTGGACACCTGAATTGCCAACCTGAGACCTTTCCTCCAAAACTTCCCTACCATCTGCAGTATCAAAAACAATAAATTGAGAGTCATGGCAAATCCTGGTATTGACCTCATCTTAATTTGTAGAAATTATTTTTCATTATCCTCTTGGAATAGCATTTTCAAACATGATCAGTGTTTTAATGTTAAAACTGTGATATTCACTATTTAACCTTTTTTTATATGAAGCCCTTTACATTTTCTTCAGTTTCTTTTTTAGATATTGTACCCCTGGCAAAATACCACTTGTTGAAATATCAGTTATATATACGAAAGGGGGAAATATGGCATTATGACTTAGTGCCCAGTTTCTGTGTACAAGTCTTAGCTCCATTGCTTTTTAGCTGTGTGACCTATGGTGAGCTACTTGACCTTAATCTAGCCTTAGTTTTCTAATCTGTATAATGAGTATATTTTATAAGGTTGTTTATGAAAATAAAATGAAATAACTTTGTAAAATGCTGATTACAGTGTCTGGCATGTGGTGTTTTCTCAATAAATACTGACATTTATTATGATAACCTGTGCTTTCAGCTGTTATAAGTTTTTGCTGATTCATTAGACATGCCACCTTTGTGACTGGTAGAATGTATCTTAGTACAAAAGCTGAATGGAGTAAAGTTTATAATTAGTGACATAGGAATTAATGAAGCCTACCGGAAAAATGAAGATTGAGTTTAGTCAGCACCTTGTTCACAGTAACACCTTATTTTAACCAGTGGACTTGTGTGGAAGAAATTGTGTTTGTACTATGCCTTTTAGTTTTTAATTGTAGTGGTTAAAAAGTAACTATTTCCCTATATCCAGTAAGATCATACTACCAAAAATCTAGTGTCTTTTGAGAGATTCTTTGTCCATCAAGTAACTCAGTTTAGTTTTGTGGTGTTACAAACATGGACACACTAAAATGAATTTAAAATAAGCATAAATATAATAGTATCTAACAAATCCTTTCTGCTCAAAAGATTTTCTAAGAATGCTGCTTATGTGAAAGTTAGAAGATAAGGTTTCTGAGTGCAAGGTAAGAGACTGAACATGGGAAGGAGGAGGCAACTGTGCTTCCTGAGGTGTGAGCCTAGTGCATGGACCATGTCTGGACTGACTCCAAGGGGTTGTCTTCTTTGGGCTCAGGTGCTTGGGTATTTGGATGTGGGGATCAGGGCTGTAAGTGCCTACCGTGGCCCTAGTGTGACACAGAAGCCTTCTTAAAACTGAGCAGGCTGAGATGCTTCCTGAGATAACTTCCTGGAAACTGCAGGGAGTCCTTGGCCAGAATGCATCTGTAGGCCTTTTATAATTATTTCTGCTTTTGAAGTCTCTGGCAGCGAAATGTGATGCTTAAAAAAAGGCATTGAGATAAAAATGGTAGTGTGTATATTTGGTGCCGTTTACTCAATATTCACATTCAGCTTTCCCACTTTGTTCTCACAATAACATTTTCAAGTGGGACAGTTATCATCAAGGTGAGTACTTGGCACCTTCTGGAATTCTCTGAGCACCTGGTACTCAGGCTACTTGGACAACTTCTAAGGCCACTATTCTGAAATGTTCATCTGTGGTCATTTCAGATTTGTACCTTTGCTGAAGGACATTCCTAATTGAGTATAAAACTGTGGAGCTAACATGAAGCCTTCCTAGGAGTTTCCTTTTGTTTGACAGAGAAACAGGAAGCTGAACTTCTTCAGGACCCTTCAGATCTATCTTCTTTTGGGATCCCAGCCTTATCAAAATAACCTAAATGCTGTTTTCAGTGACCCCTGTAGTCCTCGCTCTTGAGTGCTGCCTAGGTTCCCATGGAGAGAATCTCCTTGGGTGGCTATAGACCTGCTGTTTCTACAAACTTCTGTCAAGTCAGGGATATTGAAAGGTGTTAGCAAAAGAACTCTGCCTGGTACTATGCTGTGAATGCTGTGGTGTTCGGATGTTCTGGGGGTAAGGATAGGTGGTGAATGTTGTGGGAGGATTGGTTACTGATGTGATCATTCCTGATCTATTAATGAACAAAACTTTGCTTCTCTTGTCTTCTAGGGATTGTTCCCTGAAGGGGAGACCGTTTCATCTCTTCCGATTGCTCATTCAATACCATGAGCCTGAGCTTTGCTCTTTTCTTGATACAAAGAAAATTACTCCAGACTCCTATGCACTCAACTGGGTAATAAAGTGAAAGTAGGAACATTTAATGAAAAATAGATTTATATAAAATTATCGTTAGGTGGGATTTTTTCCCCAAGAAAGAGAAAGAAAAGTACTAATTATAGACTATTACTGCTTAAACCAAAGGAGTAAAATTATTGCCATTTCAAAATAACTTTTTTTGCTCTTCACTTATATTAGTTGATTCACATTATTTGATATGAAGTTTAGTTTTTTGTTGTTTTGCATATAGTATATGTAAAACATGTAAATATATGCATGTAATTTAAATATCTGCATGTAAATGCATATATCAGTTCAGTTTAGAACTGCATTTAAATTGTTGATGTGTATAAGAATTGATATACAATCATGAAGAAAATGACTTGCAGTTATTAAATGGTTACTGTAAAAGTGCTCTGTCATTCTATATTTGTATTTTCAATGGGAAGTCTTATTTTAGGTTAGTGCTTCTCAAACCTTTTGGTCTCAGCAGTCCTTACACTCTTACAATTTATTGATAATCCATTGTTTATATGAATTATGTTAAATAGGAATTAAAACTAAGGAATGTTAAATATTTATTAACTTATTTAAAAGTAATTGTGCATCCACTGCATGTTAACATAAATAGCCTATTTTTTTTGAGTTGGAGTCTCACTCCGTTGCCCAGGCTGGAGTGCAGTGGCACGCTCAAGGCCACCCCAGCATCAACCTGCTGGGCTCTGGTGATCCTTCTGCCTCATCCTTCCAAGTAGCTAGAACTACAGGCTCGTGTTACTATGCCTGGCTAATTTTTTTTTTTTATTGTAGAGATGAGGTCTTGCCAAGTTGCCCAGGCTGGTCTTGAACCCATGGGCTCAGGCAATCCACTCTCCTTGGCCTCCTAAAGTGCTGGGATTACAGACTGAGCCACCGAGTCTGGCCTAGCCTGTTTTTAAAATTTTGAAAAACTATATTTTTCGAAAAAATTAATGAGAATAATGGCATTGTTTTATATTTTTACAAATCTTATTAACTTTTGGTTGCATCAATGACAGGTGGTTATATCTGCTTCTTTATTCATCTTGTAATGCTATCACAGGTCATGTATCAAAGTGAAAATGCTATTGTTCATTTATGATGGAATGAATATGAAAAAGGCAAATAAAGTCTAATTATTATGACAGTAGTCTTGACCTCACAGACTTTCCTGTAAAGCATCTTGGGGACTTCTAGGGGTCCTCAGATCACACTTTGAGAACTGCTCTTCTAGGTTAACTTGAAGATCTTTCTAAAACAGCAATTGGATGTTAGAAAACTATATACTCCAAAATTAAGCATAATTGTTTTTTGTCTTACCTAACTTTTCTTTAGGAAGAATCCCATTTCTGCCAGTTATTTACTGTGTGATCTTAAGACACTTAACCTCTGAATTTCAATTTCCTCATCTGTAACATGAAAATAATAATAGTACTTTACCTACCTCAGAAGATGATGGGATGAGTTAGCAAACCGGAAATGGAAATTAGGGAATTCTAAATGGTTTCACTTCTGGGCTCATTAAATCTCAAACTGTAGTATCCTATTTAGTTCTCTGTTGGCCACGATCTTGTAACTTTGAGGTAAATAATAAAATACGTATACAGTTGTAACTTCTGTGAGATTCATATGTTGCCATTAAATTGACCTATTTATGTCAAAATAATTAAACTATTGCTCTTAAGCATTTAATGATTAATAGAGTTCTCTCTGCCTAGGAAATACCACTTATATTGCCAGAACTCTGAATTAGTACTCAGTGTTGGTAGCAGGTGGTTTAAACTGGGTTCTAAAACAACTGGCTTCTCTTCCACTGGTATGCCACATAGTTTATTCTTGCTACTAGTATGTCCATGAAATAGAGGTTTTTTTTTTTTAAATCATGAGCTGAAACAATTAAAAACCGATTCTAAAACCTTGAGAACCCATAACCATGAGCAGTGCAATGGTTGCTTTAGTTTAACTGAGTTTCAACATGGCTGGCTGTTACTGTTTGTATTTACCTCTTGTCTGTATTTTTAATAGTAATTTTTCAAACAACAACAGAAACATTAGTAGCATTGTGAGTTTTAAAAGCCTTGTAGTAAAGTGTTTGGCAAATATACGGGTTGTGGAGTCTCGGGCCATGTTTCTATTCCTTGTACCACCACTCGTTAGCTCTCTAAGCTTGAGAAAGTAATTTAATCCAAGTCTATTTCCTCACCTATAAAATAGAGAGAAAACTGTCTACTTGCACTCCCATTTTGAGAATTAAAAGATAATTAGTAAATGACATGTGGCCATAGTTTAGTACGTGGCACAAAGTATACACTAAAGATATATGTTCCCATTAGCTCTCTTTAGCCATTAAAAATGTTTAAGTTTAGATCTTTAGATGGAATTGTTTCTGTCTAATGAAAATTAAATGATCAAAAAATATCACTAAATTCATGTAGTTTAAAACACAATTGGGCTATAGAGAAACTTACAAATTAACAGCTTTTTAATTTAACGTACAAAACCATAGGGCTCCTGAAATGTATTAGAGGATATGAATGTTGTTTCATCACTTTCAAACAGTACACAAGTAAGCTTTGAGAGCAATTTACATTTATATTATCAGTAAAATTTTATTAGGTGCTCTTAAATTACCATATTTCATCCTCACAGTTACCTTGTAATAGTAATTTTTCAAACAACAAAAAACATTAGTTTTTTGTTACCTTTCAAGTTACCTTTCACACTTACCTTTCAAGTTAAATATGGTGCTGTTATTAGTAATAATTATGCTAATTATACTTATAGAGCTCTGTTGATAATTATGCTAGTTATGCTATAGCAGAGATATGTGCTAGTTACTTTAGGTTTTCTAGGTTAATAATCTCTCTTTTCACAATAGTAGTAGAAGATGGGTAGTAGTATTCCTTTTTTTTTTTTTTAACATAAGTGAAAAGGGAAGCTATAAAGAGGTTAAGCGACGTCTGTAAGTCACACAGTTAGTAAATAGCTTCATTGTGCCTTGAATCCTCATGTTTTGCCTTTGGATTTCATACACTAAAATTAAGGTATATATTAAATATCAGATGCAGATAATTTTATGTAATGTAACTTATTCATTTGCTTTAATATTTTGAAGAGAACAAGTCAGCTCCAATGGTTTTTGTCTCTCATTTCCTGATTACAGCTTGGAAGCCTTTTTGCATGTTACTGTTCCATCGAAGTCACTCAGGCAATATGGGATGGATATCTACAACAAGCAGATCCGTTTTTTATTTATTTCTTAATGTTAATTATCCTTGTTAATGCAAAGTAAGTATCAAGTTGGTTAGACTTTTCCCCTCTCTTTTCTCAGGGTGCTCTATTAATCTTTAACTCGAATTCATTTGATTCCCTTTTACAGAGAAGTTATTTTAACACAAGAGTCAGACAGTAAAGAAGAAGTTATCCGTAAGTATCATTTAATGCAGACAAAACATTTCAGGTCACTTTATCAGTCTGAAACTCAGTTTCCTCATCAATAAATTTGGGAGATTAGTCTTGAAGAGCTCTGAGGTTCCATTCAGCTCTCAAATTCTATAAACACTCTCTAGACCTTAAAGACCATTTTCCCAGATTTTGCCATCCTCTTTCATATTTTTTCACTCTTTCACTCCTTTTCATATACTGTTTGGTTTCGGCATTCCAGTAAAATGCCTCCTCTCTCCCTTCCTGCCCTACCTTCATTTGCCTTTTAACCTCAGCTTTTATGGTGTCTCAGTTGTGACTCTCTGGTTTTCCTTTTGGGTTCTCCCCACTCTAGCCCTCACACAGAGATAGTTACTTCCTCTCTCTTTTGCCTGGCAGGCACTTTGTACTATCTGTATAATAATGTTTCTCTTACTTTATTATAAAGATTTATTTTTATTTTCTCACACAAGACAAAGTTCCTTAAGTCAGGAATTATTTCTTAGAATTTATAATGTTCAGGGGCCCTGGCACTTCATATATGTTTGTTGAATAAGTAAATCAGAGAATTCTAATGAATTTTATTTGATAGCCTGGCACCATCCTTCACTAACAGGAGAATTGCATTCCCAGTTTCAGCTAGTTTGGGGAAATCTACTTCTTCACAAGCCGCTGTAAAAGCATCACTGTCGATATTCCATTTATATAGTATTTCTTATGTTGACTGTTCTTTTTAAGTGCTTTGATTACATAAATGTAAGTTATGTGTATTTCACAGTGTATTAAATATTACTATATCTATAATCATTTTTCAGAGTTCTTGGAAAACACTCCATCCAGTTTGAATCTGGAAGATATAGAAGACCTTTTCTCTCTGGCTCAGTATTACTGCAGTAAAACACCAGCTTCTTTTAGGAAGGTATACAATAAGAAATGACAAACTGTTCTGTGTTTCACATTTTGTACATTGTTTTATTATTTTTGTATCCACTTTAGCTAAAACACTTTAGCTTGTCATTTTTGGGTTTTTTTTTAATGTGTTGCAGTTTTGTGTGATTTTTCACAGTAAGTACTCTCTCTTAAAAAAGGTGGTAGGAACCATCTTACCTCTATTCTGAAGATTGTTATTTCTGATCATGAGAAAATTGGCTGCAAGTTATTTCCAAATTATTGCTTTCTTGACTTTAAAAATTGTATGATAGTAATCCAATGGAGGATGTATAGGTATGCCTCCTTTATCTGGAGTTCAGCCTTGTACAGCCTTAGTGATGAAGAACTGTCTTGTAAACAAAGGATTACTTAGCACCATTAAGACTTCTAGAGCCTTAGACCAGACAGGTGCTTTCAAAAAGGACACTAGACTAGAAGTATGAGTGGTGCGAACTCTTGGAAAATAAAACTCCGACTGGGTGCAGTGGCTCACACCTGTTATTCCAGTACTTTGGGAGGCCAAGGCAGGCAGATTACTTGAGCCCAGAAGTTCGAGACCAGCCAAGGCAATATAGCGAAATCTCATCTCTGCAAAAAAAAAAAAAAAAATTAGCCTGGCATGGTGGCATGACTTGCTGTCTCAGCTCCTAAGGAGGCTGAGGAGATCTCTTGAGCCTGGGAAGTCAAGGCGGTGGTAAGCCATGATCGAGCCACTGCACTCCAGTCTGGGCGACCAAGTAAGACCCTGACTCAAAAAAAAAAAAAAAAAAATTATGTGACTCAGGCATATGATGCAATAACTTAGTAAGAATGTTTTTAAAAAGAAAGTTTGATTGTTGGTTTTCCTTCATAACGTTTAATTCTCTTCAAATAGGATAATCACCATCTCTTCGGAAGTACTTTGTTGGGAATTAAGGATGATGATGCAGATCTGAGTCAGGCTCTTTGTCTGGCCATCTCAGTGTCAGAGATCCTTCAAGCAAACCAGCTGCAAGAGGTAAGGAAAGGAATCCCAGTTTATCAGGAGACTGTTCCTTTTGAGTGCAGGGAACCAGCATTTCCTCCCTGTTCACTGATTCCCACAAAATCAGTGTGCTACAGCATTGTGGTTGTTGTGCCTTTTTGAATGAGTAATGTGTTAAATCTTCTGGCCAGATAGTCATTTTAAAACTTGCCAGCTTTTGTGTTATTTTAATTGTCAGCAATTAATTACTTTTGTCATTATTGACACCAGTTTTTTAAATTGCCGTATCTTTTTCATATTTCAGCAAAGCAACTGAAAATGGCATTTTATAAAGTACTTAAAAGGATGAGTTTAGCATTGAACAATTAAATTCTGGTAGTTTACATCTAATTGAATTACATGGCATAAAGCCATAAAGTATATAGCAAAGGAGAATTGTGAAAATATACCTTAATTTTATTTGTGAACATCTGATGAGCCAGTTTGACCAATGACATTTTTCAATCTGTGCTCTTTATTACTAGTAGTGTAGCAGTAAACTATGTATTTGGAAGGTGGAGTGTGTTTCCAAAGTTGAGGACGGGAGAGGAAGATAAATGGGAAAATGGGCCTTTTGGAATAGTTCTTTCTCAGTTAGACTTCTTACTGTATCTGTACTGGTTATTTAGAAATTTCAAAGTACAAGCATCTCAGTTTTTTCTTATTCAAACTAATATTAGAAAACAAAACATTTAATCCAGTTTAAAGAGATCCATGTGAACTTTTTCAGTTCAACCTGGCATTGCAGAGCCTTCCCCTTTATCCCTCAGCACAAGAAAGACATTTAGTTCTCATGAATTGAACTGTTGACAAATTTGTGAATTTATTTGCAAAAATAGGAACAATGTATCTAGAGTTGTATTTATAAATTGTATTTATGTTGTTTACATGCTACCCATTTAAAAATTATTGAATTCCAATACAATTAGTTTTATAAAACTGACATTCTTCTGCTGTAAAGTTTAAGAGTTTTGAGTCAAGAATAATATATAAAAATATAACTATTTAAGATGCATAGAAGTATTTAAGATCTTGAGGTTATTTTCTTGTGCCTATACTAATTGGGTTCTCCTAATTCTATGTGGGATCCATGTTTTTTACCAACTTGTTTCCCTCCTTTGGTTAACTGTCAGTATTACACTGTACAATGTGATCCTCATGACAAATGCTGGTATCTCAAATGTTTCCCTATTAGGAAGGAGTCCGGTTCTTTGTGGTGGATTGCCGACCTGCAGAACAGTATAATGCTGGGCATTTGTCAACTGCTTTCCACTTGGATTCAGATCTGGTTAGTATAACTGCTGATTAGTTTTTTTCATAAAAAGTAAGAGAGGAAGTAATTGATTTTCTTTAGCTCATAAATAAATATACGTGTCCCGTACTGGGGAAATGTTTCTTTCTGCTTAAGAGGGAGCCTCTGCCCTTTTGAGAAAGTGTTGTTCAGGTTTCCTTTTCAACCAGGACACCCTTTTGGCATCATAAAATGGAGATGAGAACACTATTCACATGTCTTACTATTACTTACCATTGTTATGTCAGTGAATTCTGAACTAACTTCGAGTGCCTGATAGAGCACTTAGCGTAGTTCCTTGCACCTAGTAAGTACTGTATGAATATCAGCTCTGATTACAATTGGGTAAAACTTTTTTTTTTTTGAGTTGGAGTCTCACTCTATCACCCAGACTGGAGTGCAGTGTCCCGTTCCCAGCCACTGCAACCTTGACCTGCTGAGTTCCAGCGATCCTTTCGCCTCAGCCTTCCAAGTAGCTGGAACTACAGGTGTGCGCTACCACGCCCAGCTAATTTTTTGATTTATTGTAGAGATGAGGTCTCGCCAGGTTGCCTGGGTGGGTCTTGAACCCGCAGGTTCAGGCAATCCACTGGCCTCGGCCTCCCAAAGTGCTGGGATTACAGGCTAAGCCACTGAGCCTGGCCTATAATTGGGTAAAATTTCTATAAGCTTTCACTATAAGCCATTTTTTATCATGAGTATTTATGCATATACTAAACTAATATTTAATAAGAGTACTCTCTCACATATAAGTGTTCACTTGTTAAAACTACTATCCTGGGGTCATTTCAGTTGAAGGAGTGGGTAAAGTCAATATTTAAATATCAGAACTATGTAGAGCCATTGGCAGAACTGAAACTGACATCATTTAAGCCATTCTGGGGTCATTAGAGGCTCAGAAATGGGGAAAACAGGACTGATATAAGAAATCCCTTTTGCTGAGTATGTAGTCTACATTTCTCCTTCCCAATTTAGCTGAATAAGTTTATGCTAAGGCTGAGAAGGGTGTGTTGGAGGGACTTGGTGGTGTTGAGAGGAAACTCATTGAAAATGAAGGTAGAATAATAACTCGGAGAGCATTGGATATTGTAGGTGAGGAAAACCATCCTAGCTCATTCATAACTTGTAGGTGAACTCTGTACCTTTCTCTTCCTTGATCTCTTATTCCTTCCTGTCTTAAAAATTCACTCGTGATTCATGAATACTTGAATTAAGAAAAAAAAAATTCAAAAACTATCCTCAGAGTTAACCACTATTATCATCTTGCTTAATCTTCCAGACCTTTAATATGTATTTAGATATTTCTTGTTCTGCCATTTACTCTTTCACATAACAGTTTCTTGTACATCTTTCCATTTAAGTATATTCTTTTTAAAGTGCATAGTGGTCCATGATACAGATATACTGATCGACATATATTTGGGTTATTTTCAGTTTTCTTTTAATAAACAATGCTACGGTTAACATCTTTATACATATTTTGTGAACTTATGCAAATATTTCTGTAAAATAGATTCTTAAAAGTAGAATTGTTTGGTTGAGGGGTGTGGACATATATATTTTATTAGAGACCACCATGTTGTCTTTTAAAAAGGCTGAACCACATTAACATTTTAGAATGTCATCAGCATTATTGGAATTATCAATTTTTTTTATTTTAACAATGATGAATAAAAAATAGTGATAATTACTAATGAAGTTGAGCATCTTTTTTGTGAATGTGGTGTTTATTTTACATTTTTTTTTTGTTTTGTTACAAATTGCTTTTCTACATGCTGTATTTTTCTGGACTTGCACATTTTTATGTAACCCCCTTATAACAGTTTTTAAAAATTTGTGTAGTTATTGTCATACTCCTTTCCTTGAAGGTAAGAATGAATTTTTATCCTTGTATCTTTAATACCTAGAATAGTGCTGATAAATAACTGGTTCCTACTATTTCTGTCTTCTAAGAAATACATAGTTTGTCATGTACATGGAAACTAAAAAAAATACAGCTTACTTTAAATTACCATTTTATATTCTTTCTGTTATGATTCCTAAGGACATTATAGCTAGTTGTTTGTTATATAAGAAACAAAAAAAACCCAAAAAGTTTTTCTCTAGTAGAGAAGTATTTTCCCTGCATAACTTAATCATTCTATGAGTTTTCAGCTTTTGTTCTATTTTATTATAGATAGTTATAAACAATTTTTTTTTTTGTCCCAGGAATTTTATTTATATGAGAACCTTTTATTTTCATGGTGTTGGATTTTTTTCCCTGGAAAAATATTTATTTATTTATTTTTTTAGATTGGAAAATATAGTATATTTAGAAAGTAAATTAGAAAGAGGGAGAAAGAAAGGAGATTCACCTCCCTAGTGTAGAGGAGGGGGACAAAGTTAAGAAATATGGCGGACAAAGCTTAAGGAGCCACATGGCCTGACCAGAGTTTAACAGAGCAATGGCCTGGAAAAATATTTCAAGTTTTGCTAATATATGTGAAACACAGGCTTACGAAGATTTTAATTTTTAAAAATTGTCTAGATGCTTCAGAATCCATCCGAGTTCGCACAGTCAGTAAAATCCTTGCTGGAAGCACAGAAGCAATCCATTGAGTCTGGCTCCATAGCCGGTGGGGAGCACCTGTGTTTTATGGGTAGCGGCCGGGAAGAAGAAGACATGTATATGAACATGGTCCTGGCACACTTTTTGCAGGTAGGCTGGCGTAGTGATTTCAGTTTTGTTTGTTATTGCTGTCACCTTTAAAACATTTGCACAAATAATGTTTGGCTCTTTTGTACACTGTCAGATTTATCTGTGTTTTTCTTGGTTTTGTGTCTTGCTAAGAAAGGTTGTCTTCGCCTTCAGATTTTTCTCACATGCTTGTATGATTTTTTTTTTTTTTAATGTTTAAGTCTTTAACAATCTGGAATTTATTTTTGTGAAGAAGTGAGGTAATAATCACAAATTTTTTTTCAGATAGCTAACAAATTGGGCTATAAATTTGAAATATTTAGTGCACTGAAGTCCTCTTATGCATCAGGATCTATTTCTGATTATTATGTTGAATTACTCTTGATATCTATGCCTTAGTATTTTTTATAGTAGGTATATAATTCATTTTAACATCTTCATTTTGAAATTGAATATACACGTGGATTTATTCATGAGTTATCTTTCATTTTTGTGTTTGAATGTTGTCTTCAGCAAAACTGATTTTATTGCGAGTTTATGCAACCTGTCCCTCTGCTTTCTTGCAGAACCTCACTTTGAGGCTTGCTCTTTATAAAAATAGTTGTTTATAGGTATTCTTTGGTAGTTTATGCATTAACATCCTTACTTTGTATGATATTGAACTATGGAATCAGGAAGACAGTAGACATGGCATTACACAAGCCACTCAATTCGGATTCATTTCTATTCATGTTGTATTTTTCTGGGAATCTGGTTTAAGAAAATTAGTCTAAAGACAAAATCCTTAAAAGGCAAAATCAGAAGGAACAAGGTACTTGGCAGAGGAATTGTAGGATAATTTTAAACCTTACTAAAGAAAAGAATTTAGAAACTTATTACAGAATAACAAAAATAGGAACCTAAACTCATATATTTAACTGTCCTATTTTTAAAATGCTTCAGTATAAACTATACTATATATCGTGAGGGCTGTCATATGGCAAGAGTTTGGAATATTGTGACCTTTTTTTTACTCTTCAAATTTTTGATATGGTTTAAGAAATTTTTTCAATTTTCATTATGGAAAATTTCAAGGAAATTGAAAAGTGGGATAACTGAATGCTTTAAACTCTTTATAAAGATGTAACCACATTTTCTTGATCATATTTTACAAAAATCTAACTACTTTTCAAGTTTCCCTGATTTTTCTAGGATCCCAAACAAGGTATTATGTTTGGTTGATGTCGTTTAAGTCACTTTTTAAATTTATAGCCTCCTTTTTCTAATTTTTTCCTTGCATATATTTGTTGGAAGAAAAACCTAGTTAATTTGATTAATAGAGTTTCTCACGTTCTGGATTTTACTGATTACATTCACTTGGTGTATCATGTTCTGTCCCTGGTATTTTCTGTAAGTAGTTAGTTAGATATAGAGACATGATTGGACTGCTTTTTTAGGGGCAGGGGTTCTGGGGAGGTGATGTATGCTGCTTTTAGGTGGCAGATACTGTCTCTCTCTTTTCTTTTTTTAATTTTGTATTACTTAGATCTATCATATTTTTAGTAATTTGCAAAATGGTAACATTCTCTCATTTCTTCTTCATAATTAGCTGTAATATTTCCTTATATTACCTTTTTCTAAAGGACACAGAATATTTTGAAAACTTTTAAAAAACACTCATTATATCCTAAGATACCAATTAACTAATTTCGACTATTGCACTATTGTAACTATTATACAAATAAAGTAACAGTCTTATTAACAGCTGTGATGTTGTCCCCTTCTTCCCATTTAAGCACCAGATCTTACAGCACACAAAGTAAATGTGTATACCTCTCTGTACCAAAGTCCAAAATGTCTAGGAAAATTGAAAGTCCAGAAATTTTATATGTAACTGTATATTGCATTTGTCAACGTTTTAGAACAGTTGAAAGATTTAATGAAACTGTATTTTTTGAATAAATTTTATTTTCCATTACAGAAAAATAAAGAATATGTGAGTATTGCCAGTGGAGGATTTATGGGTAAGGTTTTAATTTATTAAATTCTTTGCCTCCACTTTTCAGAGGAAATTATGTTGATTATCAGCAGAACTGATTTGGAGTGACCTAATTAGCTAATGGGTAGACTCTTTCTTCAGTCATTCAATATTTTCAGAAAAGGTGAGGCTAGCAGGACATATAGATAACAGACAATTGAGATGAGTGAATATTTTATGTAAGGCTATTTAAATAGATGTTAATAATTAGCTTTTGTTTCCAAAAAATATATTTGTAAAGATGCTTGAAAACTGTCTACATTATTTGCCTCTGTGCAGAAGAAGGATTAGATGGCGGAACTAGGAAACGAGTTGGAGGAATGCTTTTTGTAGTATACCTTTTTACTATTTGGGTATTTTGTTATCATTTCATTTTTGAACTACTTGAAGGTATCAACTGTTAAAAAAATGTTTGCTGAGAGGCTGGGCATGGTGGCTGATGTTTGTCATCCCAGCACTGTGGGAGGCCAAGGTGGGAGGATCGCTTGAGCCCAGGAGCTCGTGAGCAGCCTGAGCAACATATGGAGGCCTAGTCTCTATTTAAAAAAAAAAAGTTGGCTGAGTTGAATAAAATAAATTAGCTTGTGTTTTCAAATCTGATGCTAATATCTGGAAATGTACAATTGTTAAATAATTGGCAAGCTCTCTGCAGGCAAGTGTTTGAGAATTTATGAAGTATTAGGTCAGTGTAATAAGATTTAAAAAGAGCCTGTCTTATGTTAGGAAAAGAGATCCCACAAAAGGGCTGAACTGTAAATGCTGGGGAAAACTAATGATACAAATAAAATCAATGTGTAAGTATTGTGTGCTAACTAATTTTGCTATTGGCGCTCCGAAAATAAAATCGATATACGCTGAAGGTAACAGAATCTTAGGTTTTAATCCTGGGAGTCTAATTATGGGAGGAGTAAGTTCTTAGGCTGTTAACTTAGAATTTTCAGAAGACTGGGAATTTAGTCTTTGCTGATATTAGCAAGGATTATCATTATCTTCTATATATTGTGGCCTGATAACTAACTACCTTCGAGGCTCATACTTTGAGTGAGCTACAAAAGTATTATTTTAGTAAGTAGTGTTAAACAAGTAGTGGCCCTAGGCTTTGTATTATTTATTAGGAGTGTCTGGAAGGTATTCTTCTTTATAGTAAGGTCTAGATTTAGAAACTTTTCAAAAACTATGAATTATTTATTTTATGAAGAATAATCTCTCTTTCCATAACTGTTCATGCCAACAAATGCCTCTCCATTAAGAGAAAGATCAGTTGATGTCTCCTTATGGTATAACAAAAACCACCATAGATTTTTTATTCTTTATGTCACAAAAACAGTATAGAGATTGTCTGTTAATACTAGATTTCCTTCTAAAGAGGAAAACTTAAAGCCTATACAGTTGTCATCACCCTTGGGTCAATTAAGAAAAGCTATTCCGGTACAGAGCACTTTAGAAGGAAGGAGAAGAGGAAGGTTTGTATTAGCCTGGAGTCCTTTACTCATTTACAGAGGTGCAGAAAGAAATACCTGTGATAGTATCCTTGGGTCCTTTTTTCTCAGCTGTGGTGTGTTTATACTTCCATGGTAATATACTTTTCAAAGGGGATTGATATTTCAGGTTTCATTTTGTTTTTGTTTTTTTTGTTTATCTTAAGCACTGCAGCAGCACTTGGCAGACATTAATGTGGATGGACCAGAAAATGGATATGGCCATTGGATTGCTAGTACCTCAGGCTCAAGGAGCAGTATCAATTCTGTTGATGTAAGTGTTTATGTAGACTATGTCACCAGATTTGGATAAATTCTCAGAAAAGGTGATTAACTACTAAACCCCCACCATAACAGAAACGGAGTCAAAATAGTTTGAATACATACAATGAAGAGTCTCATATTATTTTGAGATTAATGAAGTGATGGAGCAAGCCTGCACAGCCAAACTAACTGGGAGTTCCTGAAATTCAACTGCTGAATTCAGATTGCTCTCTGTCCAGCTGTAGGTTGCTATCACCTAATGACAGTTGTATGCTCCAACTTAATTATTAATGGGGACAATTCTGGGTCCTGTGACTAGCTGGGACTCTTAAGTGAACTGAATCTAGAATCTCCCAATTAGTTTGGGCCAGGAGAATACTAGACTTGTGGTCACCTCCGGCATGCTATGTCTGTACCCATCCCCACCACAGACTTATATGATTAGGACCGGAGTCTATCCACATTTGCAAATGGCCCAGGCAGAGAAAGACAGAAACTATCTGCCAATCCTGTTATATTTAGTTTTTAGTTATTGAGATGTATATTACTTCAGAGTTTTGCTATAGTGGATAAATCTGTTTTTTCTGTTCTACTTTGGAAATATTTGGGTAGTAGGTCTTTTTCAGAGTTTCATGGCAGTTGAATTAGATGTCATTAAATCTTTTTTTTTTTTGACAAATAATGGCCCTCGTCTACCTAATGATTATTCTTTAAAACAGAAATAGAAGCCAGGCTTGGTGGCTCAGCCTGTAATTCCGCGCCTTGGGAGGCTGAGGTGAGTGGATTGCCTGAGCCCGCGGGTTCGAGACTCGCCTGGGCAACTTGGTGAGACCTCATCTCTACAATAAATCAAAATTAGCTGGGTGTGGTAGTGCGCACCTGTAGTTCCAGCTACTTGGAAGGCTGAGGAGGAAGGATCGCCAGAGCCCAGCAGGTCGAGGCTGTGATGGCCGGGAGCAGCCACTGCACTCCAGTCTGGGCAACAGAGTGAGACTCCAATTCAGAAAAAAAAGGAAAAAAAAACACCAAACAAACAGAAATAGAAGGAAACCTAGAGTACAGGGTCATGATTATTAGCTCAGGCTTACAGGTCTGACATACCTGAGTTCAGGTTTCACCTCTACAACTTATTGTCTTCATGATATCCAGCAAGATGTTTCAGCTGTGGTTTCTCCACCTGTGCAATAGAAATGTTAAGAACAGTACAGTACCTTCCTCATAAGGATAACTTGAGGACTAAATGTGCATGTACATGTGAATTATCAGCAAATAGTAATTACTACAAAATTGTAACTCACTAGATATATTAGTTGAGGTTTATCTTCAACCATGCAAATCAGAGTTTATTATTGTCACATCATCAGCAGATTAGACTTCTCTGAGAATCTTTTAAAAACAAAACAAAACAAAAAAACAGCACATCCATAGTGAGTTAAGGTCTTAATCTTTTACCCAGGCTGGAGTGCAGTGGCATGATATGGCTTACCACAGCCTTGGCCTCCTGGGCTCAGGCTGTCCTTCACCTGAGTCTCCTGAGTAGCTGGGACTACAGGCATATGCCATCATGCTCAGCTAATTTTTAAAAAATTTTGTGTAGAAACAAGGTCACACTATGTTGCCGAGGCTGGTCCCAAACTCCTGGACTCAAGCAATCATCCTGCCTCAGCCTCCCAAAGTGCTGGGATTATAGATGTGAGCCACTGTGCCTTGCCAAGGATCTTTTAACCTGATACTCTAGGTACCTGGTGTGGAATCACCACTTATTTAAGAAACATTTGCTGTTTTCATTTTTAATAATCAGATATTTCATTGTATAGATGTATTATAAATTATTCAGTTAGTGCCCTATTGTTAAATATTTACACTACTTCCAGTCTGTTGTAAACACTACTACAATTAATTTTTATAGTGATATATTTGCATATGCCATTGTTATTTAGTCCTAGAAATAGAATAATTTGATCAAAACATTAGTATCAGAATCCTTAGAATTCTGCATTATTATCAAATGGCCTTCCAAAACACCACTATTCTAATTCATTTTCCCGTCCACAGCATTGGATAGTTTTTTTATTGAAGCTTTTATCTTCAGATTTGAAAAACACTGATTGAGGCTATTGTAGAAATTATCTTAAAAATATGTTCTTTTAAAAAATACCAAATAATTTTCACCATTAGTTTAATTTGGTTTTGAATTTAGGTATGGAAATAGAAACATAGTTTTTTGTGTTGTCAATGACTTATTCTAAAAATAAAAGTAATAGATGTTCATTGTAGCATCATATATAAATAGGAAAAGCATAAAGGAAACAAAATCAACTATAATTCTACCAAACAGAGAGAATTGCCATTCTTGTTTTGAAACATTGCCATCAAATATTTTTAATGCTTGTGCTTTTTAGTATTTTATTTTAAAAGTAGTGATCATAGTGTACCCACAGTTTTATTTTCTGCTTTTTCACTGTAAACATAGGAGCATTTTCTAACATTTTAAAATGCTTTTTTAAAAAGTATGGTTTTCTAGTGGCTGTGTAATTTTTCATCAGATAGTACCTAAATCTCTGGATACTTTCTGATTGTATTCTTCCTATGAATTCTGAAAAGGAATTAATTGGCAAAAGATTAATTACTTTTTGAAAATTTTATTTCTTATTTTTTTGAGTCGGACACTCACTCTGTCGCCCAGGCTGGAGTGCAGTGACACAGTCTTGACTCACCGTAGCCTCAACTTCCTAACTCAAGCAATCCTCTCACTTCAGCCTCCTGAGTAGCTGGGACTACAGGCATGTGCCACCACACCTGGCTAATTTATTTTTATTTCTTTTGTAGAGACAAGGTCTCTCACTATGTTCTCCAGGCTGAACTCCTGACCTCAAGGGATCCTCCTGCCTTGACCTCCCAAAGTGCTAGGATTACAGGCATGAGCCACTGTACCTAACCAGAATTACTTTTTTTTTTTAAATCAATATTTTTTATTATGATATTGTGGGGTACAGGTAAGGGTTAGGTATACAAATATGCTTCATTCAGGCCCCCTTGTTGATAACAGGTATCTCCCCGTCCCCAGACAGATGTTTACTACCATTAGTCCCATCTCCCTTCCTCCCCCCATAGTTTCCCACCACTGTCAGTCATTTTCTTATGGTAGTGCGTTGGATGATCAAGGTCCACTATATGAGTGAGAACATGTGGTACTCAGATCTTTGTTTCTGTGAGAGGTCACTCAGTATTATAGACTCTAGTTCCATCCAAGTTATTGCGAAATTCATGATTTTGTTCTTTTTTATGGCTGCATAGTATTCCATCATGTATATGTACCACATTTTTTTAATCCAGTCCTCTTTTGATGGACAGCATGGTTGGTTCCAGGTTCTTGCTATTGTGAACAATGCTGCGATAAACATTCGTGTGCAGGTATCTTTTTTTACAGAGTGATTGAATTCTTTAGGGTATATTTCCAGTAGGGGGATTGCAGGGTCATATGGGAGGTCGATGTTTAGAGATTTTAGGAGTCACCACACTGCTTTCCACAGAGGTTGCACTAGTTTACACTCCCACCAACAGTGTAGAAGTGTTCCCTTTTCGCCACACCCTCTCCAGCAACTGTTATTTTTTGAGTTATTGATAACTGCCATTCTGACTGGAGTTAGGTGGTATCTCAGTGTGGTTTTGATTTGCATCTCCCTGATGATTAGTGAGGTTGAGCATTTCTTCATGTGTCTGTTGGCTGCTCGCATGTCTTCCTTTGTGAAGTTGATATCTTTTGCCCATTTTATAATGGGGTTGTTTGTTTTTTTCTTTTCAGCACGTTTGAGTTCCTTGTAGATCCGAGATGTTAAGCCTTTGTCAGACCTGGAGTTGGCAAATACTTTTTCCCAGTCTGTAGGCTGTCTCCCTGCTCTCTTGATGGTTTCTTTGGCTTTGCAGAAGCTTGTCAGTTTAATGAGGTCCCACTTGTCTGTCTTATCCCTTATGGCCTGTGGGTTTCAGGTTTTATTCAGGAATTAGATGCCAGTTCCAATTTCCATGAGGGTATGTCCTTCATTTTCTAAGGTTCTTATGGTTTGAGGCTTTACATTTAGGTCTCTGATCCATTTAGAGTTAATTTTTGAGTATGGGGATAGATAGGGGTCCTGTTTCAATCTTCTGCATGTGGTCGGTCAGTTTTCCCAGCACCATTTACTGAATAGGTTCTCCTCTCTCCAGTGGTAGGTGGTGGAGGCTTTGTCGAAGATGAGTTGGTTGAGAAATTGAGGTTTTGCTTCTGGAATCTCAGTTCTATTCCATTGATCTATATGCCTGTTCCTATACCAATACCAAGCTGTTTTGATGATTGTAGCTTTATAGTAAAGTTTGAAGTCTGATAATGTGATACCACCTGCTTTGTATTTTTTTTGCTGAGGATTGTTCTGGCTATTCATGGTTGTTTGTGTTTCCATATGAATTCCTGTGTTGTATTTTCTAGGTCTGAGAAGAATGTTGCTGGTAATTTGATAGGTATTGCATTGAATCTGTAGATTGCCTTAGGTAGGATGGACATCTTCACGATGTTGATTCTTCCAATCCATGAGCATGGAATATTTTTCTACTTGTTTGTGTCATCTTTGATTTCTTTGAGCAGAGTTTTGTAGTTTTCATTGTAAAGATCTTTCACGTCTCTAGTTAGGAAGATGCCAAGATATTTCATTTTTTTTGTGGCTATTGTGAGTGGAATTGTGCTTTTTATTTGGGTTTCTGTTTGTTTATTATTGGTGTAAAGAAATGTGATTGTCTTTTGCACATTTATTTTATATCCTGAGATTTTGCCGAAGGCCTTTATCAGTGTAAGGAGGTTTTTGACAGATTCTCTTGGGTTTTCAAGGTACATGATCATGTCATCTGCCAAGAGAGATAATTTGACTTCCTCTTTTCCTATTTGGATACCCCTAATTGTCTTCTCTTCTCTGATTGCTCTAGCCAGGACTTCCAATACTATATTGAACAGGAGGGGTGAGAGTGGGCATTCTTGTCTTGTTCCAGTTTTCAGGGGAAGTGGTTCCAATTTTTGTCCATTTAGGAGTATGCTGGCTGTGGGTTTCTTGTAGAAGGCTTTTACTACTTTGAGGTATGTTCCCCGTATGCCTAGATGTTCGAGGGTTTTTATCAAGAAGGGGCGCTGGATTTTACCAAAAGCTTTTTCTACATCTAATGATATAATCATGTGGTTTTTGTTTTGACATCTGTTGATGTATTTAATTACATTTATGGTTTTATGAATGTTGAACCAGCCTTGCATCCCAGGGATGAAGCCTACTTGGTCATTATGGATGATTTTTGAGATGTGTTGTTGAATCCGGTTTCTTAGATCTTGTTGAGAATTTTAGCATCTATGTTCATCAAAGATATTGGCCTGTAGTTCTCTTTCTTTGTTGGATTTTTACCAGGTTTGGGTATCAATGTGATATTAGCTTCATAAAATGATTTGGGGAGGGTTCCATCTTTCTCACTCGCCTGAAATACCTTCAGTAGGATTGGAATCAGCTCCTCCTTAAATGTCTTGTAGAATTCTGCTGGAAAGCCATCTGGTCCAGGGCTTTTTTTTTGTAGGTAGTTTTCTTATTACATAGTCAATTTCCTTGATTGTTATTGGTCTATTTAGGGTCTCAATTTCTTCTTGTTTCAACCTAGGCAGGTTGTGTGATGACAGAAAGTCCTCCATTTCCTTGAGGTTTTCAAGTTTGTTTCCATACAAGTGTACATAGTAGTCTCTAATGATCTTTTGTATTTCTTCAGGGTCAGATGTGACTTCATCTTTTGTGTTTCTGATTGTGCTTATTTGGGTTTTTTCTTTCTTTTTCTTGGTCAGTCTAGCTAGGGGACCATCAGTCTTGTTTATCCTTTCAAAGAACCAGCTTTTTGTTTCATTGATTTTTTTGTATTATCTTTTTGTCTTCTATGTCCTGGATTTGGGTTTTTATTTTGGTGATCTGGATTCTTCTGCTGAAATTAGGGTTTTTGTAGTCTTGCTTTTCCAACTTCCTTAGGTAGCTTGTTAGGCTGTTAATTTGTGCTCCTTCCATTTTCTTCATGTGTGTTTGTAGGGATATAAATTCCCCTCTTACTACAGCTTTCATGGCGTCCCAGAGATTCTGGTAAGATGTTTCTTCATTTTCATTTGTTTCCAGGTATCTCTTTATCTCTGTTTTGATTTCATCAGTGACCCAGGAGTTGTTTAGCATCATACTGTTTAGTGTCCATGTCTTTGTGGGGTTTGGGGGAACCTTGTTGTTAATGTTTATTTTTATTGCACTGTGGTCTGAGAAGGTGCATGGTAAAATTTCGGTCCTTTTAAATTTGTTTATGCTTGATTTATGGCCAATTTTGTGGTTGATCTTAGAATACGTTCCATACGGTGATGAGTAGAATGTGTATTCTGTGGTCTTTGGATGGAGTGTTCTGTAGGTATCAATTAAGTCCATTTGATCAAGAGTCACATTGAGGTTCCGGATCTCGTTACTGATTTTTTGTCCTGATGATCTGTCTAGGGTTGTGAGTGGGGTATTAAAGTCCCCAGTTATGATGGTGTTAGAGACAATATCTTTCTTTAGTGTTCCTAGGAGTTGCTTTATAAAAGTTGGTGCACCTATGTTAGGTGCATATATGTTTAGGATAGATATTTCTTGTTGATGGAGTGAACCTTTTATCATTATGTAGAGGTCCTCTGTATCTCTTTTGATTTTTGATAGCTTAAATGGTATTTTGTCTGAAATTAGGATCGCAACTCCTCCTTTCTTTTGTGTTCCA